ACGATTTGAAACTGTTGGACGGGTATTCTTAGGTGACCCTTAGCTTTCCTTTAGTGCAATCCTTTAAATTCAAAGAGCCACTTAAGCCATGAGACACAAAATAAAGTTAACCATAAAAACACAGTTTTTTTGTTGTCAAGAAATTATGAATACATGAAAAAATAGTAAGTAATATATTAAAAATGTAAATGAATATTCTACTTGAGAGTGTTACTGCTGCCACCATCTGTATTAGAGGAAAAAAATGTCAGAGGTGGGTGGCCAATGATTGGCAAAGGAGGCTGAAGATGGCCATGGCCACCCCTGGCCCCCCATCTAGCTCCGCCCCTGTTATTGGGTAGAGACCATAGATATCCATAATAAAGGCCTTTATTATGGATATCTATGGTAGAGACCACCACGTTTTGTTACAACATACTTCCTGACGGGCCTCCCACCGCCATGACGAGAACTAAGTGGGAGGAGTTTCCCTTGCCTCAGACAGCCCTCCGAAACTCGTCATCAGCCCAATATTAACGCGTGGAGCAGCTCTCGTCTGTATTTCACTTAGAGGCGGAAAACTACAACTTCTGGGAAGTTTTTACAAATCCAAAGAAGTGCGAACATAATTTGGAGGAGATCGCCCTTTAAACGGCAGAACCAGACTTGAAGAGAGACAAACAAAAGGTGGAAGAGGGAGAGCCTGCTTAAAATTTAGATTCTTCCAAGGTTCACAGGCTTCTCAGGGGATCAGAACCCGATTAAAGATGAACAATTTCTAAACGGAACCAACAGGAGATCCATAGGAAGACTGTCCATCCACCGTGACTATAAACCAGCAGACAAAGAGCAGCGCTTCCCTCCCTTCGCTGGCATGGACCAAGGAAAGGTAATAAAACCCAACAATAGTATGCCCTCTTTCCTGTTTAACTTGTTAGGTTACCGGTGTTTGAAACGACTTTAGTTCAACGAGTTCATATTTTAAGCTCTATGGTTGCCATGACAGCCAGTATTCACATCACCTTTGTCTGCTTATTAAACAGTCGTTACGTATGTTAATATTTAAGACGCTTTCAGTTATTTTAAGCACAAAAAATTAAAGCAGCTAAGTCATTTATCCTGTCCTAAAGCAAACCAAAAAGCAAAAGTTTTATTTTTACTTTTTTTTTCTTATCATTTACATTTACTTAACATTTAAAATATTTGCCGTAGTTTTACGTTTATACGTAAAATTTCACTACCATGCGTGATGACGTCATGGGTCGGGGTCTATTCCTGTAAGAGGCTACGTGACTAAAGTTTGTCACCAGCTTTTCAGAAGGCCCAGGAATCTAACACTTATGTGTGTAAGGCATCAGCACGTAGAGCTTCTTAACATCCATTTAATATAAAAAGTAAGAAAAAAAACTTAAAAAAATATAAAAAGTAAAAATAAACTAGCATTTTAATTAAACAACAAACACAACATGAAATTGATTTATACTTTTATATCAAAAGTAGTTACAAAGCTAAATTTTATGTTGTTTTAGTAAAATGTATTTCTTTTAAGAATTATAGAAATAATCCAAAGTTTCCAAACCAAAACAGTTGTTTAAATCAGAATCAGACTTACTTTAATAATCCCAGAGGGAAATTACTTTTGTTACATGCTCCAGATATACAAACATTTTTATATATATATATACAACAATCCACAAAAAAGAATATAAATATATAGATATATCTCTCTATATACATATATATATATATACATATGTATAACTATAGATAAATTTAAAGCTGAGGTCTAAGATTTTATAAGAGACAACGAAATGTAACATTAAAAGCTACATTTTTATTAAAAAAAAGAAACAAATCACATTTTAGAACCTGAATTAGAAGTGATAATTTGGAATTTTAGTGTTTCTACTCCTGATTTTGTTGTCAGGAAAAAAAATGCTTATACCAAAACCTTTAAGGTGATTACTTTCTAACAATTTGTCTTCAATTGTGGTTATTTTTGGTACAAACGGGAATATGGACTCAGAGCATTTTCTTCGTGAACAATTTATCAAAGCTGGTCTGTTGTCCTGATAGAGTATCAGTTAAATGTTTCTGTCTGTTAGTTACTTAAACAAGATATATTAGGTTGAAGTTTAGAGTTATAGATTGTAATACTCTGTGTTCTGAAGGTGAATATGTTCTATCTGGGGTCAGATAATGCTGGCTCCCATCCTGCAGCATATTTTGGTTCCAGGTTACATGAACACATGGTGAGGCACGTACACCTCTGGCTTTCAGCCTCCTCTCCCTCCACTCTCATCATCCATGTTACCCTTGTGTTTTTTAGCCCCCTACATCTTTGGGACACTAAAGCAGTTGTAGTTCGGGACTCAGTGACCCTATCGGGATGGTCACAGTGCTTCTTTTTTAGGAATGCCATGTTACATTTGTTACAAGCAGTGAGTTTCCTCCATGTCAGCTGTTACTTTCAGTGGTTCTGCTGAAGCGTTTGTGTGCAGGTATGGGCTAATCGCCATCTTGTGTTCAGGGTTTTACTATCTGCCAGAGGTGGGTAGAGTACCAAACACATTCCCTCACGTAAAGAAGAACTACTTCGATATTTAGCAAAAAGTAGCCATCCAAAAAAGTACCTAAGTGAGCTTTTAAAAAGTAATTTGTGAAAAGGGTACAGGTACTTAAGTACTGAGTCACTGTTTTAATATTTTAAAAGATATAAATCAGACTGTCCGTAATATAGAGTTATGTACAAATTCTTTTTACTGAAGAATATAATTTTATTGACCCATTACATCTAAAAACTTCATTTGATCAGCAGACTGACTCCTTAGTAGTTCGGCACTGATGAATCTAAAAGCCTGTATCCTATTTTCCTGAATTTACTTTGTGTTGGAAGTTCCTGTGCTGTTCTGTGGATGTGACGCTAAGCGTCAAAAGGGGTCCAACCTAGCAAACAACCAAACTGTTTCAAGATGGATTTTGTGGATACGACTGGTATCCAGCTCAACTCAGACAAGGTGACTCAGGTGAAAAAAAATAAAAAGTACAAGTGCAAGCTACGGGAACGAGCATAAGGTTGCTGCAGTTCTACATTTTGGCCACAGGTGGCAGTATCATTAGAAAAGGCTGTGATGCCTCTTTAATGGCTAAAAGAAAATGTATATGTAGTTGGGTAAAGTAACTAGTTATTACCTACCTCTACTATCTGGCATGGAAGTATTGTTGGTTGGTTAACGGCATATTAAAGTGTGGTGGTTTGGCCTCCTGTGAGAAGGTGCGCTGCTTTTAAATGCATTGTCCTTGTCGGCATCCCTTTTCCCAGCAAGGTGCGGCTCTGTTGATGTCATACACTCCGATTACTTGTTTTATGGAAAATTGTTCCAGAGGCATGTCCTGTTTTTTATGCATCTTTTTCTCAGTAACTGGTAAATTTTTACCACAGATGTGTCCAAATTATTCTAACACTCAGCTATCTATTTGGACTTATGGCATTCCCCTGCCACTGTTAACTTGGACCAAGCACGTCTATCAAATCCCTACCAGCCGTTATGGCAGCAGGTATTTTAATGTGGACTCCAGGGCCAACTGCTAACGCCTCATAGTACATCTATAATTACAGCAGTGAAAGTCTTTCCCATCCTCTGGCTGTCAGACCCCCTGCCAACTCCCACTTACCTTAAAACGCTCCAATACATCTCCTTTCATCTGCATGACTGCTTCCCCTCAGTTTGTCTGCTAATGTAACTGTCATTCTTGTTGTAATGAGGCACAATGAGGCTTTTCTGCAAAGGTTAAGAGGATTTTTTCGGGCTTAATTGTGATGCAGTGAAGCAAGACTGGATGTTAAAGGTATCTTATTTGCTTCATCAAAAGTGTATTTACAACCATTGTTTTTATGTACTTTTGGGAGGGGTGGAGGGATAATCTAAACAAAATGACTCAGTTAGCTGCAGTTAAAGATCAGGGACAGTATTTTGGGAAAAGCGAAGCCCACATTTTGTTGGAAAAGTGAGAGTCGGTAAATAAAAAAAATGAAACAGCTCCGCTCCAGGTGGATCCGACATGATGTTTGTCTTGTAGCAGTTGGGCTTGTTGCCTCACATGATGTCCAGGTGAATAAACTCCCCACATTTGACCCTGGCTTCTAACTAAAAGCATGAACGCCTGCGGGGGGTTCATCTGTAAACGTGTTGTTTCATTGTCTTCAAAAGCGCATGAAACCCCAGGAAGTGGAAAACAAGAGCGGTTCTCAGCTGCTGCCAATCTGTCCTAGAGGACACCCCAGTTCTCCATCATAACATTCCTACAAGTTTTTAATCTGGTGGCAATGTGGATCCTAGTTTTGTTTGGCTAATTGACACAAGCAAACACAATGATACCACTTGCTTCTGCACACTGCTGGGCAGCTGGCTGAAAGAAAGCTGTTGCACTGTTTCCTTTGCTTTTTAGGCTCTATGGTTTCTGGCATTTATCTGGAAACTAAAGAAACTCTGACTTTTGATGTTTCTTTATATAAAACTGAATCTAAAAAGGTTTATTTATCCGAAGACCTGCATTTATATCTGACAGTGTTATTTCAAATTTTCTGTTTAAGATTGTCAATAAAGACAATACATATAGAATACAGATCACCGACTAATAATTTGTATGTATCATTGTACTGACTACAGTTGGAACAATTGTTGACTTGAATATAATTTAGAAAATGAGCCGTCAGTAGTGTCAGCATTAAAATCAGCCAACACATTCCGTGCAGTGGAATGCGACTATAAATACATTTTTATCTGTGCCTGGTTATAGTGCCACTGGCACTGGTAGATAAGACTCCATAGCTTATTGCGAAAGTCAGCCATGTTGCACAGGGAAAACATATAGCATGTAAGCTGCATGTTACTCTCAATTGTGAGATGAAGTTTGATAATTCAGTTAAGGATACATGGCAAAAATAATCTGGAACAAAAATCTTATGGCACTGCCTTTATGGTAACAAAAAAAGGGCGGGGGGGTGTATTTTGCAATAATAATCATTTATATATATATATATATATATATATATTTACACAAGTCATGTTGTTGTTTTGACATATGGGTGTAATTACAATGTTAAAACTAATATTTTTTTTTAGATGAAAGTATATGTATATCTACTGGGGTATTGAATGAGTTCTGTCCAAGGTTTGAAATAGTTTTTACCGAAACTATTTGGATGTTTTTGATCCTATTTACCAGGAATTGACATGATTGCTCCCCTACCAGAAATCCAAGCCTGGGGCAACAAAAAGCCCACAAACGTCTTCACAGTGAGGCACAACGTTACCTGAGGCTTTTAATGAGGATTTTTTTCTGTTTCACTTTGAGACAAATACGAATCCCTGATTGGTCAGATGTGCCTCTAGGATTGATTGACAGATGGCGTCACAACGATTTCAGCTGAAGGCAAAAACTAAATATATTTTTATTAAATGATTAATATTGTGCATCCTTTACATTCTCAATGTTGAGAAGATTTAAATTTCTCAGCATACTAATTAACTAAGGTGTCATATAATGACTCGTACTGCAGCTTCTCAATTTACCTTTTTAGGCCAAACCAAATCAGTTCCACATGATTTCCCCCCCGAGCCTAAAATTGGACACCCCTCATTTAGGCAATGTTGGTGCCATATTTTCAATTTTTTGATCACTACATTCAGCTGATTGCCATGGATAGATTAGTTAGTATTTGGGCTTTAGCTTTATCAGTTACATAGAAGCATCTGCGCTCTGTTGGCCAGTGGAAAGACTAATACTCATACTGTTAGCTGTGCTGTTGGCGTGAGAAGGCCATAGGAGGCGGGCACACGCTGAGCTCCATACAGCTGTGTAAGCTGAGACTAAGTGACGACGTGC